CATTTATATGTGCAGGCGGAGCCTGACATCTGTCGTCATCACGTCACCTGCCTAAAGGCGTGATTAGAGGTGGCTTCAGCCAGGACACGCAGGGGCGTGGTTCCCATACATGATGTTGTACCTCGTTCCTTTCCTTCAGGGAACAGTAGTTATATGCATAACATTACGTTCTTCTTAATGTTTTGCCTGATTAAATAAAGGTTAAATAAAAAAAAATACAAATACCACATAAAACGGTAGTACAACAACCTTAGATCGTAGTAGAAGAATCAACATCTTACCTGTTGTAGATGGTTCTTAAATTAGACTCTTTCATGCAAACACTTTTATTAAACTTTACATTGCAGTTAGATTTTGCCTTATACTTCTAGCGTAATAAGATCATCACGCTGGAAGGTCTCTAATAAGAAGTGCTACAGCTAGCTGCTGCAGCCACTTTGTTTCTGCAAGTGACCGTAAAGTTAGTGTGCATAAACATTTGATTTAAAATTGAACTTAAAAAGGAACTCAAATCAAATTTCACAATCTGAAATATGAATTTAAAACCTAGAAGAGGTTATTTATTTTATGTTAATTATACTGAGGTATTTGCTTCTAAATGTACCGACAGTAGCAGAAGGATGTTTTTTATTCACTGTGTTTACTCTGTAGCTATGTGAACATGTGAGAAAGCGATCAGGTGATGTCTGAGCACCTGAGCACCTGAGTGGTCGTATTTCTGGCAGCTGATGGTTGGACGAGTCTCAGAGGAAAGGCTTTTTCGTGGCCCAGCCAGCGGATCGGCTGTATTTGGAGACCAAAGCTGTTTAAGCAGTTTGACTCGGTGAAAGTAAAGTGCTCTTCAGCTCATTATCCGATCGAGAGACTCAAGAGTCGTCTGCAGCGTGAAGGCACAGGATGACAAGTCGCACTGTTTCAGTTATGTGAAGATTGTTCTTTAATATTTGAGGGGGAAAAAATCTGTTGAAGAGGTGCTTAAAGGACACTAAAACAGAGGACTGAACTCGAGCAGCACATGACAGCACGATGAAATAATGATACAGATGACAAAATCAGCACAAACTGTCATTTATCGAGTCCCAAAGCTGATTCCAAAGAACCAAATGGGCTTTTACACACAGTTCAAACAGAAAATAACCAGTAGGTGAAATAATTAACAGTTTGTGTGTTAAACCTGCTTTTAGTTTGTTTTTTAGGTTTTTTTACATGATTAAAATGAACACATTCTGTCCCTATCTCAGAGGTTCTCAAACTGGGGTCCTGGGACCCCCAGAGGGCCGCAAGTTGTAGCTTGGGGGTCCTCAAATTATATACCGTTAATTTTGTTTTTCGTTTAAACAAAAGCAAAACCTGCATAAATGCATATGGGGAACAATGCACCAGTAAAACAAACATACTGAACCAAACACATAATAATAATTATTCCCATGGCATTTCAGGGTGAAAATGACAGTAAAACATTCTTTAAATCAGCATGAGTTTATCAGGGAGTCCCTGGAGTTTTTGTTTTACAGCTGTAAGGGGTCCTCAGATCTAAGAAGTTTGATAAACCCTGTCCTATATCTGTAATTTTTACCCAGTCATGTTTTATTTTTTATTGTGTTCGTGTTCTGAAACCTGCTGACATCATCATCAGTGTCTGTGTAAACAAAGAACTTTGTGTTTATTAGTGAACTTTGTTTGAGGGGTTGTATCAGTGTGAGTGATAGTGTTGTGCTGCGCCCTTGAATCGTGTGTGTGTGTGTGTGTGTGTGTGTATTTGTGTGTGTAATGAATTGCTCTGCTCCACCTTGCACCTCTCTCTGCTCACAGGAGATTGGCGGAGGTGGGAGTAACAGCCTCTCTGATTGGTGGACGCTGATGGTGCTTCACCAGCTGACTCTTTTGTCTTTAAACGCTGGGGGGTCGGGGGCGGGATGTTGGTGGGCGTGTGGTGGTGCTGGATGGGCTTAAGCAGGGCTGGGGGGGATTTAAGGCTCAGCTCAGTGCGCAGAGCAGACGGTCTATTTAAAGGACACCTCTTCCTCTTGAATGATTCAACAACAGTTTGCCCCTCCCCCCCGCTTCTTGTCAAGATCAGCTGGACGATGGGCTCAGCCAATGAGAATATAGCAGCAGACTGAGTCAGAGTGTGTGTGTGTGTGTGTTTCTGTAGCTGAGAAGGGAGGCAAGCCTGGACAAGCAGAAGCTCTTCCTCAGTATTTGTGTTTGGAAAGAATGTAGAGAAGCCACTTCTCCTCTCCTCTCCCTGTCCTCTCATCTGCCTTTTGTCTCTTCTGTGTCCTGTCGTCCTGCAGTCACCACAGTGACAGCTGACATTGTTGCTGCAGCTCCACTTCCGTGTTTGCCAAGGCTTTTTTTTTTTTTTGGTCTGGGACTCTCTCTCAATCTGGACTCATCTCAGGGATTTACCAACGGGGGCAATGTAACCTTCTTGAGCAACCATTGTCTGTGTGGGGTGTGTGTGTGTGCGTGACAGGGTGTGTGTGTGTGTGTGTAAGAGACGAGTGAAGTGAGGTGGCTACCGGAAGCAACCATGAATTCCTGTTGGAAAATGAAAATCCAGGTACATGCTCTTGTTTCTCTTGCTGTATTTTTATGATCGTGTCATTTTCCTGCTGTGAAACTCATTTCTGATGTGCTAAAAAAACGATGACGATGACAAAAAAGAGGAGGAGGAGGAGGAGGGGGCTCATTGTTGTTTCCCTTTACTGGTTGTTATGGTGAGGCCTTTTGTCTCGGTGATGGCGGCGTGCTTCTGCGCCAGCAGCCGAGAGATGAAAGAGTTGGCAGGAATATGTGGTTTGTCTTTTTCTGTGTGTTTCTGACAGAATGGAAATCTTTTATCTCTTCTGGGAGTTTTCAATTTATCTGTCTGTATACGGATATCCTTTTGCTCATCTTTTATTTGTGTATTCTCTGCCTTTTTGGGGAGGAAATGTTTGTGCCATGTTAGTTTTTTAAAGAAGACATATTATGCTTTTGCATCCCTTTTTTACTTTTAAATTGGGGCATACATATAAAGTAGAACTGCAATGCTTTGGTCTGAATTCGTCCTCATTGTAACTCCACAAGCCACTCTTTTACTGCTTTCCCAAGGTGTGTTTCTGATTAACTCATTTTGAGGCTGTCTCTTTAAATACAAATGAGGCACTTTAAACCCCACCTCCCCTCCAACTTCAAGATCGGTCCATTCCAGTTTGATAGAGGCATTTATGACTATGTAGCGTTGCAGTAACTTTTTATTTACAAATTAGTTAAAAGATGTCAACAACAGAAGACTTGTCCATCTAGCCTTACATGTTGGAGCCAGAATCTGACCCTGAGAATGAGGACAATTGTAGTTGGTAAGTCCAGACCTTTTTTAGAGGTTCCGTCGCAAATACGGTGACATAATTGTTCAGAAAATCAAGAAACTAAATCCAACCTTTCTGCACTCCTAGAGACTCAAAGTACACGACAAAATACACTGAATGGTTAAAGAAGTGGATTTTGCTTGATATGCTCCCTTTAAAGTCCAGAGGAGCATCTGCTGCCACCTCCTCTTCTGTCTGAAAGGTTGACCCAGTTTCCCCTGTGATGCTGCCTTTTGTTTTGGATGGGGGGGGGGGGGGGG